AATGAAATTGTAGAAGTGAAATTGACATGTTTATTCTTGCATCCCCATTTTTTTTTCCATTCCTTGGTTCCTGTAGAATATGTGCTGGTTTTTGGTACTGCAGAACAGCCTACCCCTGGGCTTTGTGCACCACACTTTTTGTACAACCCTTGTTTTAAATTCTGGCATTCTTGAAATCACTCTAACATTATCAGAGGCAAGCAGAGAACTGGAAATTCTCACTGCTTTGACATGATGCAGTGGAGTGGATGATCAGACCTTCCCAGTGGGAACTTTGACAAGTTGAAATGCAGAAGTACAATTTTATGTCTGTATGTCCTGCTATTGTAACATCCCTAGCAATTAGTTGATTGGCTGAGCAGTAGGATCTGCTCTCCTTGTCAGTGATTAGGAAAAACTATGCTTACCTTTAACCAGTCTTATTTTCTAGTTTATTTGCTAGGTTATATACTATATTATTATTTCTGATCGCTGTTGTCTTGACTTTGCTGAAGCCTGAAATGATGAAGGTCTGAGCATTACCCAAGAGGTGGCTTCATGAATTGCAGTGACATAAGCTAGCAGGAAAGCAGGATGGAGGGTACGGCGACAGTAGAAGGGAAGAGATGAATGATGGGGTGTAACAGTCAATGTATGTGTCCTTGCACTGAACAAGGGGCAAGGTACTGAAAAGGCTGGGGCAAGTGCTTTCTAGGGAGCTGAATCCTGGGAGCTCTTGTAGGGTGCTTGGGGAGGACTGGAGCAGGGTAGCAGGGATGCTGATTAGCATGAACACTGAAGTCTGTGGGTGCTTTGGAAGTTAGTTAACAAAGCTTGTGAGGATTTTCTTGTTTCACTCCTTCCTCAGTTGCTTTATAATCCTCAAAGTGTTTTGTTTCAGTGTTTTGTTTTGCTGTGTGCATAGTGCCATAGATCATGACTGTAATGGGTGAACTGCTGCCAGCTACCACTCTGTTAGCTCCCATATGCAGATAGCTGCTCTGAACGTGGCTGCGTGGTTAGTGGGTCATTACGTGAGGTCATCTACGTATTCCAAAGGTTAAAGGGAAGTATTTCTGGGCCATTCAAGCTGTTGTTTGTTTGTATGCTACTTGATAAAATAGCAGCAATTAGTATAATCTTTCTGAGAAACGGGAGTGATCTTACCAAATTTTGGGAGAAGGTTAGTGCTAATGCATGTTATTTATATGGCTTTGCATTGAAGAATTTCAATTTACAGCATGAATAGTTCAATTTCTATTTAGGGTGCGGTTCCAAAGGAAGTATAATTACAATCAAGGGGTGTCACAGAGCTGGTGAAGCATTAGGTTAAGACAACATAAGAGATATTTTGTGAAAACATTTTAGGGTTATGCCTTCCTAAATACAGAGGAAGCATAACTAAGCGAGAAAAAAAAATCTACTACTCAGTTTGAGCATTTAGAATCATGGAATCATTTGAGTTAGAAAGGGGCCTTGTCCTTCCTGAGGTTATCCATATACAGCTTCATAGCATCCCTATAGTCCTCCCAGGGTACCTGGACCCTGCTTCCTCAGCCAGTACATCATCTTCTTGCTCCAGCTTGACCAGCATGTCTTGGTTCAACTATGCTGATCTCTTGCCTTCCTTTCCTGACTTCCTACACCTCAGGTAGGAGAGCCCGACTGCTTTGCAGAAAGTTTCCTTAAAGATCAGCCAGCTCTGCTCTGTTGTTTGGTCCTTTGAGGTCTGTGTCCCAAGAGGAGATGTTGACTAACTCCCTATAGAGCCGGAATTTGGCTTTTCTAAAACTTAGTATCCTGATTTCATTCTTTGTCTGATATCCCTCAGGAGCATGAACTTCACTGCACAATTACTGCAGCCCAGGCAGCATCCAATCCTGATTTCACTAATTGGTTCACTTGCATTTATGAGGTCAAGTATTGCAAGTATCACACCCCCCTGGTGGAGCTTTCCATCACTTGGCTCAAGGAGCTATCCTTGATGAGTTCCAGGAGCCTCCTGGGTTGCCTTCAGCTTGCTGTGCTACTTTTCTAGTGGATGTCAGAGTGGTGGAAGTTCCCCAGCAGGATGAGAGCCTGCAATTGTGACACCTCCTGTAACTGGAGGAAGCTGGCTTCATCTAGAGGCTCTGCTTCATCAGGTGGCCAGTAATAGACACCAACTGCAAGGCTCCCTTTGTTGCCTGTCTCTAGCTCTCACTCATAAGCTTTTGACTTGCTTATGACAATTCTTCTTGGATAGCTCTTCACACTCCATTCCTTCTGCAGCATGGAGGGCAATGCTTCTACCCCTCCTTTCTTGCCTCTCTTCTGAACAGCTTGTAGCCATTGTTAGGGCTATCAATGCAGTCATGGGAATCACCTACCAAGTTTCGCTGACAGCAGAAAACATCATGGCTTTCTGTTAGCACAGTGGCTTCCAACTCCTCGTGTTTGTTTCCCAAACATTGTGCACTGGTGTAGAGAAATTTCAGCTGGGCAGCCAGCTGTGTTGCCTTCTTGGAGGATGACGCCTTGGTAACTCCTTGAGTTCTCTGTGGCCTCCTCCTGTAGTATGTGTGCCCTGGCTCATTTTAAGATTTCAAGTGCTGCAGTGTGGCCAGCACATCCTACAAGTGCTGTTCCTCTAACCTAGTTATGCTGTCTCTCACACGGTCATGGGCGGTCTCACTATCACCTTGCTCCCCCTTCAAACCTAGATAAAGCCTGCTAATGAGCCCCATTCACTCTTATAAAAGACACTTAACTTTGTTCACTTCATTTTTGAAGTAACCACCTCTGCTATATCCAGCCCATACATGAGACTATATCCATTTTTCCAAAAAGAGGTGTAATTAGTTGCACCTTTATCAGAATTTTTTTCAATCTGTCATGTTTGAGCTCTTTTTGTTAATGAGAAGATGATTCAGTACCATGTCAAAGCATACATAAATCTACTCAGTGGCAGTACGTATAATTCATTTCAAGTGGATACAATTGATACTTATTTAATATGGACAAAATTTGAAGATGCCCATTTTTCTTCACCTTTCCAGTTGGTTTTCCCTCACACAGTATGAATGCTTCAAGTGACCATGGTTGTCTCCCAGAAGCACCTGTCCAACCATACTTTTTAATCCATTCATTTACAGCAATCTTTGCTTGTAGGAAAATATTGAGATGCAGTCAGGCAAAGCTGTCAGATTGTTCTGTGTCTGAATGCAAGATGCTGATTACTGTTGCCATTGCTAGCTGAATTACACTATTAAAGGCTTTTATGAAGTATTTGCATTGCTTGTTCATACAAATATAAAATCTTGGCAACGCCGTGGTGAAAAAGGAAACAATGCTCATCTTGTGACACTTTTCTTCTAAGACAAGACAGCAACAGTAATCTGTGGAAAACATCTATATACACAGCACATTTAATAACGTCTTTTTGTTTGTTAATTGCTAAATTATTTAAACTGCATCTCTCTCTGTTGCGCACAGATTGTTGTGCACTCTCTGCACATGTTCTTTAGAATGCAGAGGTGATATGGATGGGGCAGACCTGTGCCTCTGTGGGATGTCCATGTTGTGTGCTGCTGCTGTTCTGGAGGATAGGGAGGGAAATCAGGGAGGGACCGACAAACGTGGGATAGGAAACTGCTAGAATAATAGTTGTGTTATTGCAGGAAGTTTATCCATGGGGCAGTAAGCCTTCTGTTGTGCAATGTTTTTTAGCACTGGACAAACCCACTGTACAGAGAGGTGGAAGCCTCTGTCATAGGGATTAGTGCAAATGGTGTCTGAGACAAGATGAACCAAGCAGTGGTTCAGCTTTCCTGGTGTTCTCCAGGAAAATTTCTGGCTAAGAAAATCCAGGTGTTGAAAATGTTGAGTGAGGAAGCAATTTCAGAGATCTCTCACAACACTACGTTATGCATCAGGCAAGGAAGAAGGATCTTGGTTTATATTCTAAAGCAAGAGCACCTCAAGCTCTCCTTGCTGTCAGCTGCAGCTGAAAACACAAATGTAAATATAAATTCTTATGAATGCCCAGGAAGCCTTTGTGGTGGTGCTGAGACACATCTGCTTTTTTCCACTGTTGCTTTGGTATTGCATTGTTTCTTGTGTTCCTTTGTATCAATTATGCTACTAAAACTAAAGAAAATATTCCACTGTTTTAGTAAGAGCCATTCACAACAAGCTTGGTTACAAAGCCATTTAGCAGCCAGAACTCAGCACAGCACAGAAACACTTTGCTACAGCTTCATCCTTGGCAGCAGGGAATGCCACAGCAGTACGGCCAAGGTCATGGCAACACTTGTGAAAAGGAACTGCTTGAAAGGGAGCTGTTGGGAAATGGCACAAAACCATAATCCTGGGAGTAACCTGCTGTTCTCCCTTGGCACCTTTCTAAAAAGTGTCTGTGTTACAGTAATACGCTTGAGAAAAAAAATTGCCTGCCTTGTCTTCTTGCTTTATTGCTTGCAAATGTCATTCTGCAAATTGCCGATGCACTTCTATTATTCAACAGCTATTTAATAAGATGGGATAAAGATTTTGCATTTCGGCTGTTGCTTTCAATGTAGCAGGCATTATTTGGTGCAGGTTGAAAGTTCCAGGGGACATTTGCTCTTGTCCAGCCATAATCTGAAGTTATAAGCACTTCTGCACTCCAAGACAATGCCTTTGTGGTTCTCACTTTAATTTGTGCCTGTTATCAATGCAGGACTGTCAAGAAACTGTGTTTCTGGAGAGGACAAACAGTTGTCAAGAGTAATTTAATACTTGATTATTTCTGCAAGCTGTATGACATAATGATTTATCCTATTTTTTAATACTACCTGTTTTCATTCTTACTACTTCGTATCTTTTAGCTGACATAGAAATAATTTCAACCTAGAGCCAACTTCTATACTCTAATAAGAGTTGAAAATATGGCAAAATGAATTCTACTGACCTGAAAGCAAATATAATGAGAATACAGAAAGTAGCAGTTTCATTGTCAATGCAGGATAATCCTTGGTGGATGTGCATTTCCCTGTTTAATGTGTTAGAGCCATTGAATTTGCATTACGAAGGATCTGCTGCCTTCTGAAGGTCCCAGCCTAGAGCAAGAGATGCAGAGCTGGGGGTCCTGAATTCTTCTTTGGAATCTGCTATGAAAACATGATGCCTGTGCTGTGGGTGTACTTTTATCACTTGGCCTCTGTTTCCCACCCATTCTCTATTTGGTGGTAAGTGAAGCCGCATGAAGTATTCTTGCAAAAAAATCTATAAAAATCACACCTATTCAAATTAGCTAAATATTCAGTAATTTCACTCTCATTAGGCCATATCAGCCCATTTTCTTCTGCCAGTTTCAATTAATCCATTGTTGAAACGGTTGACAGCATGTGACTGCATTTGCAGCCTTCCTGTCTCTTCACTTAGCACACGAGAAGCTGATGGACTGAAGACTCTTGTCAGCCTCTTCTGATGTGGTTTGCCAACAGATGGCAAACAGGTCTTTGAGGAGAAACCAGTTGTTGCTACTTTCAGCATCAACACAGAATTTCAGCACTGTCTGGGAGAAGGACATAACACGATCCTGAGCCTGTTTCCAGCCTCAGACATTCTTTTATCAATTAGCAAAACTGCTGATGGATTTGACACAGCCTTGGGAATGCCTGTGTCCCACAGGATGTAATCTGCTGTGCATACTGATGGTGATCCACTCTGCAGAAAGTTGAGAGATAAGAAGTCGAACGTAAGGTATAATTTTTTCTTATCAATAAGGCAGTCTTTCTTTTTTTGCTGGAAAATGTAGAGTGCAAAGCCTAATGTTTACAGGAGGCGTTACTGTGCATAGCATATAGGTAGACATTACAAATAGAAGCACACCTTGTCAAGTCTTCACCCAGGCAACACTGCCTGAGCAGTATCTTGAGTTCAATGCCATACAAGTGCTGGATGGTTACCATGTGACATGTGAGCGCTGGTATAATTAGTATATATAATTAGTAATATCAGCATTTCACAGTATCACACAGCACTCAAGCTGCTAAATGGGGCAAGTGCCAGCAGTGGGGCTGGTCAGGGCTTAACTTCCCAGGCATGTTGGTGACTCACTTTCCTGCCACTGGCTCCAGCACGTTTGCCATTCTCACTTACAGGAGTCATGAGCCCCAAAATGAACACTTATGTATGATTTGTTGAGGGAGAGACTGTTGCAGTGTGCAGTGAAGAACTGAAGGTAATCAGCTGGGATCATGCTCTTGTAGGCAGTAAGAAAGTGAGAAGAAAGCAAGGAGTTGCCCTTTTAAAATAAAAGGCTTGCAGAATGCTGAGATGAGAAGCATAGTGAAGCTTGGGTCCATGCAATATTCACTGCAAGATGGATATGTCCACATCTGCTTTGCACAATTCTGTTTTATAGCTCTCAACACAGTCCAAATAGTAAGAGCACCACAGCACATCAGGAATGATCATCCTGGTTGCAAAGGCAGTGGAAGTGATCCCGTTAGTGCTTAGGCTCATGTTTTAAAATGGATTTAGAGCCTCAGTTTGTTTGCTTTTTCTCTTTCTCTCTTAAAAACTGTACGTGGCTGACAGCAACAGTTCTGGTCTTTATCATCCTCATCTTCAGTGCATATGTGTTCACCAGTCTTATTCATTTCTGGTCACATTCTTATAGCTCTTCTGCAGCCTCTCGTAGGAAGCATGCTTTGGTATTTTGGCCATTTTCATTCTCCTGTTCACCATATGCTGTGGTAGATTTATGAAGGATTACATCTGCATAATCACCAACCTGCTTTATTTCATCAGCTGTTCCAGTTGGCAGCACCAGGTGCTTTCCTCAGTCTTTCTGCTTTCTCCCTTTTAGTTTTGTTCACTGCCCACAAAACAAATGGTCCTCCTATGGCCACCTAAATGGCTGCCATTTTCTAATTACCATATGGCTCAGCCCTCAGCGGCTCATGTGACGTGCAGAAATTGCCTCGCCAAGAAGCCTTGCTGCTGGTCGTTTCTCACAGACCAGGGCTGCTGGTGCTGCTTGGGGATATCTGTTGTGCAACTTCTGATGCGATCAAGGGATCTCACCATCGTGTCCTTCTCTGAGACTTCTGCATGTGTTTTGTCTCTGCATAAATAGTCATTTTATCAATTCATAAATATGTCTTCCCCTTAGTGAAATGAGATGGGACTTGCTCAGGAGTGAGGAAAAACTGAGTTTACTTCTGAAATTGACACTGGTCTACAAAATAAAATGTGTTCACTTGACAGCCTGTCAAGTCCCTTACTAGAAGGAACGCGCAGGCAGCCTCTATTAATGACTTGGTTCCACCTGAGTTTATTTCACAGACCTTGTTGTGTTTCAGGACTGTTTTTGTGTTTTTTCCTTTGTTTGGAACAGGAGGTCTCTGGGAGCCATCTGGGGCCTACTGTGTTATTTACCATAGAGATAATAATACAGTGATACATTTTAAACTGCTTTTTAATGTGTTTTCTGGCAAATTGTCTGTTGCTGTGCTAGGTGTGAAATCATCTTAAGGGGGACAAGCGGTATTGGCATTTGTGCAGGCTTGCTGATTCTAACTAACATTTGCATTAGATTAGAACGGTAAATGCTGTCTTCAGTGCAGAAACATTTTGCATGCTCTCAATGGTATTTTAAAATGGGGTATTGCTAGTTTGAATATGAGTCAGCTGAAATTACAGAAAACGTTTCCTTTAAAATACCATCTGAATAGAAACAGCTGTCATATCACACAGAACCTGAAACAAAGCATAGCACGAAACTTGTGTGGCATGTAATAACCCTAGTATTAGAATCTATAATGTTTTAATTTCTTCCTTGGGATATCTTTTGTGCTCTTGGAATAGTACATTTGCATGTGAATGGAAAAAGCTAAATTATATTCCTAGGTTCAAGGAAAGAAGCTAATTCTAACACTATTGATAGAGGAACTTCTTCATTTTATTTCTAACATCATCGTATCAGGCTAAAACTCTTATTGCCATCAGCATGTTTGTCAGGTGAAGTTCTGAGATCACCTAAATATTTTATGAGGTTCAATGAACAGTGAAAATAATCTTGCTAAGACCTGTCTCGCTAGTAGATTAATCAGTACTACAGTTTCTCTTTTTATTGGAAGTCGTTAGTATTCAACTTAGCTTATCCTCATCTTTCTGTTTACCTGTGAAAGCAGTGAACAAAGCAGTTCCATGTAGTTCCATGTCCAGGGATGGGCAGTGGAGCTGTGAGGGCTCTGGGGCACAAGTGTGATGGGGAGCGGCTGAGGGAGCTGGGATGGGTCAGTCTGGAGCAGAGGAGACTCAGGGGAGATCTTAAAGCACAGCTCCCCGAATGGAGGCTGTGGTGAGGTGGGGGTCGGCCTCTGCTCTCTGTACTACTGATGGGATGAGAGGTAGTGGCCTCCAGGTTCTCCAGAGGAGGTTCACGTTGGATATTAGGAAAAATTTCTTCTCCGAAAGAGTGTTCAGATGGAATCAGATGGAATGGGTGCCTGAGGGAGGTGGGTGAGTCACCAACCCTGCAGGAGGAGTTCAAGGAACAGTTTAGGTGTTGTACTAAGGGACAAGGCTCAGTGGGGAGGTATTGGTGATAGGTGGACCGTGGGACTGGATGGTCTTGGAGGTCTTTTCCAACCTTGGTGATTCTATGAATATCAGTTCATTTTAATTCAGGGAAAATGCCATGGTCTTTTTCACAAGGCATTTATTTGTGTATGTGTGTAGGTATCCATCCTCTGATACAAACCTAAATACACATATATGTGTACATTTATGTGCCTGTGTGCATGTATTGAGTTCTGTGAAGGAAACAAATGGGTGGAAAAAGCCAGAAATGATATCCTGTATTGGTCCATTTTGATGCTATAGAATAATATGAAATATCATTTTTGGAAGGGCCATCAAAATGAAATCTTGAGTGTGTTTGAAATCAAAATGATCTGGAGGCATAGCAAACACAAGGCGTTTTATTTATTGCAAAGAAGTTTCACAAAGAGGGAAGATAAGAGTGACTGGGTAAACAAGTAGCTTTTAGATAGCAGATAAACCTGTAAAATGAAATCAGTTGACTGATGGACAGAAAATATTATAAGTCTGTTCCCTGAGCTGTATTATCCATTTCACGGATGCTGAAGCAGCAGGCTGACTTCTTCACCTCTCCTGCTGGCAGTGTAAAATGGCAGCTACTGTATTTAGTTAAATTGTCACTTCAATGATTAATGATTTCTAGAGACAGCACAGAAATACAACCAGCATGCCGAAACCTAATGGTTAAAAACAAAAGAGTGGAATGTTCAGAGCACTCTTTCTTCATAATATGTAGGGCTGGCATGAGATGTAGATGAAGAGGATCGTAATCTTCTCCTACCACTGCTGGAGGCTTCATTTTGTTCAAAATGTGGCTGAGTCTGGGTCTTAAAAATATGCAAATAATATTTTAGGTGGAACTTATTATTATATACATTTTTAATTTCTGTGTAGCAAGGATTTCCAAATTCAAAACTGAGAGTAAGGCAAAACACTAAGAAAGGTGGAGGGCAGATTGGCTCTTGCTCATTACTGTATGCTCACTGTCATTAAACACACTCAGAAAAATACTCTTTGAAGCCTGTATAGATCTTTCAGCATAAAAGCAATTGGGCTTTTCTGAGGTTTATTAAGCAGTCGGGGTGAACCACGTGCTTCTGAGCTTGGCATGCAAATTAAAGACCTCAGTTTGGGATTAAATAGTTCTGGGAAATAATATGGAAATGTATTAAGAATTTTCCTTGTTCTTCAATTACTGCGTTGTACCTGCATAGTAGAGGGGATTATTATCATCCGGTAACCTGGTGCAATGCTTTAATTAAGAGCTACAGTCAATACAAAGAAAAAAGGATGTATCAGAGACGAAGGGGAGCCTTTCAGACTGACTGTTATGTTTCTGATGGCCTAAGTGCCAGAGTTGGTTCTGGAAGAAGTTTAATTCCCCTTTCCCTCTAGGTATTCTTTTAAATACAGAAAATATTGTAGCAGGAGTTGCGTTAAGACCAATGAAAGCTCCCCAGGTAATTTTTATTGCAAGTCTCAGATTTTGCACAAGATTTTGTGCTGTATAACACATATATAATATGCTATGGAGCCTTTGCAGTAGCTTTAAGGTGCCTTGTTCATCAGCAGCTATCTGAAATAGAGGAAGAAAGATACCCATGTGGAGATGCATAATATGCATAACACAGGG